TTAGATTCATTCTTATTCCTTTGGCCCTGTTCATTGGGATGAGCCATTCTTTTCCTGTTGTTCGTTTATCTTGTGAGGTTTTTAGGGGGACAGTGGAGTATTTAAAGGGCCTTAGCTTCCGCACTTTTCTCTAGTACGTCGTTTTTGCCTGCACTACTTTCTGCAATAAATCTTAGGTGGGCGGAACCTTCAACCTGTGTTTACCATTTCCTCTCCCTTTTTGTCCTTCTCCCTTCCTGGTTTTATAGGGATGTGACGCCTCCAGATCTCATTGTTCAACTTTTAATTTCTCCCAAACCCTCCGGAGTCCCTGCTGCTGGGCATTCTGCAACCAGCGGGCATTGGCAGAACAAGAGCCTGCGTCCTAGCCAGTCTGCAACCCAGTCTCCCTGACTTGCCGGGTTGGAAAGCTCACACCCAGTGAGTCGTCCCCTCTGCTTTTGCCTGGGGCTTCCTTCTGTGTTCTGTGGGAGTTGCTCATCTCTGAGCAGGCGTCTAAGGGAAAGGCAGGCCAGCTTGCCTATGTTCCAGGAAGCGGAGGGGCTTGCACTCCTCAGAAGGAACTTTGGGACATGTGCCTCGTTGGTTTCAGAGCCCCAGTGGCCTGGTGTTGGTTAGGGGAGCAGTCTCCCCTGCGGTGACCCGCCTCCTGATTCCACTGTAGGGAACCATCTGTCAGAGTTCAGAGCCATCCAGTCGCTGTTACCAGTTAGGGTAACACTCTGAGCAGGCAAGGAGGTCTGCCTTGGTGCTTTCAGAGCCCACCCTGTAGTAGGTTGGCTGTGGGGGTAGCCACCACTGTAGGCGATAACAGCAGTCTCCGCAGTCCCTAGTGCCAACCAGAAGGGGGACAGGCTAACCCTGATTGATCCCAGGGAGGTTTGTCGCATGGATTTCAGAGGCCAAAGATAGCAGGTGCATAGGGGGAGCTGGTAGAGTGCTGACTATGGGAGCAGACTCCACTGCAGGGCCCTTCTGTGAACAATTCCTGGAGGGCTTGCAGCTAACAGTGTCCAGGTGGAGGGGGAGCTGTTCACTTCCAACGGGCCTCCAGGGAGGTAAGCCTGGTTGCTGCCAGAGCCCTCCCTGAAGTGTGCTGGCTGTGGGTGTAGCCTACACAGAAGATGATTGCCCCAGCCAGCCATCCTCTGAGTGACCATCTGTCCGTCTGCCCATCCATCTAGCCAACTGACACTCATTGGCATTTACTCTGCATCTGCCTCCGTTGGGCTGGTTTGTAGTCTTGACTGTGTTGACCTGACCTGGTAATCAGCAGGGCACAGGAGATGCGATTTTCCTATGCCCTGTAATGCCCCTGTTCCTTTCCTTGGTGACAGCTGCTGCTTCCTTGCATTAGAAATGCCAACAGGGAAGCAGACCTGACAGGTTTAACTTTTCTCTTTTACTGAACTTCTTGGTTTCTTCTCTTGTACTCTTCTCCTTTGTAGGCGGTGCCAGGTTTATATACTATCAAAAAGAACTCTTTAAGGAGAGGACAGATTTAATTTGCTCAAACTACCTTATTGTTTTCATTTTGAAACATCCGAAAGCTGCACATCACTCTGGAATCATCCAGGGAACCTAAAAGTCCTGATGCCCAGATCCTCCTGATGGATTGTATAAAAAGTATCTAAGGCTACACCTCGGGCATCAGTGTCTTTTTGAAATACCGATTCCAGTGTCCATTCTGGGTTGAAACCCACGCTGTTACATTGACACTGAAGGTGAAATTATTTTCTGGGTCATTTTTTTTTACCTGGGGAAAAAAAAAAGATAAGCATGCACGTCACTGGTATTGGCAGCAGCGCGTCTCAGCAGAAGCACGTGGTGTGGCCGTGTGGTTTTGAGCTCACAGTTCTGAGGAGTTTGCCGTCAGGTGGGTCAGGGGTAGGTGGGTGAGCGTGCATCTAACTGTTGGGAGTACTTGAGAAATAAAACCTACGTGCTCTGCCTCCTCTGCATAGACATGAAAGCCCAAACCCAAGCAGCTGCCGCCAGCACCACTTGTAGGCCAGGGGGTTGAGTCCACTCTGACTTCTGCCCTCTGTGTGTCCCAGACAGGCCTGCTCCACGGGCTTCGTGGTGATCATCCTTACCGAAGCAGAAGCTTGGACTGGCAGCCTCGAGGCTAATGGTTGGCGGTGGTGGGTGCTGTCGAGTTGATGTCAACCATAAAACCCTGCCCGGTCCCACGCCATCCTCCATCGTTCCTGTGCACGGGCACCTGTGGCAGCAACGGTGCCCATCCATCTTGCCGAGAGCCTTCCTTTTTTTCGCTGACCCTCTGTCTGACCAAGCATGCTCCCCTTCTCCAGGACTGGTCTCCCGACCACGTGCCCTGAGTGGTCTCGCTGTTCCTGCCTCTGAGGAGGCAAGCCGTTCTGCTGCGTGTGGGCCAGGACGCGTTTTGTCGGTTCTGGCCGTCCACGGTACTTTCAGTCTTTTCCCCCGGCACCATATTCACATGCATCAATCCCTCTTCGGACTTCCTTATTCAGTGCCCAACGTCCACGTGCCTAGGAAGGGACTGAAAATACCATGGCTTGGGTCAGGTGCACTGTACTCCTCGGCCCCTCCCAGGCACCCCCACAGGCTATCGAGGGATTCAACGTAGACATGGCTCGTGTGCAGCCTGCACTTTGTGTGTTCTTGGCTCTTTGAGACCAACAGCTCATTCTGTGAGGTAGTTGTCACCCTGTCCACGTTGAAGCGAAAAAAAAATTGGGTCTCAGTAACCTGCCAGCAGTTACCCTGCTGCACTTGGCAGGGCTGGATGCTGGACCCAAGCTCTCTGGTGCTGGATGCTTGGTTTCTCTGGAACCACGCACCCCTCACGTTTGGAGGGCAGGGGAAACTAGTGGGCGAGGAGGGCAGGTGTGAGAGCCTTGTTCATGAAACTGGCATATTCCAAGGTCTCTTTTTATTCTCTGCCTTTTCCTAAGCAAGTTCTCACTGCCATCAAGTCAATTCCAAATCACAGTGACCTCCTTGGCCACAGTAGACCTGGCCCTGAAGGTTTCTGTGACCGTAACTCTTTAGAGGAGTATTTCATTCCAAGAGTGGCTGGTGGTTTTGAACTGCTCACCCTGGGGTTAGCAGCCCAATGTGTAACCTACTATGCTAGGTTACGTGCCGCCGACCCCTTCCACATCATCTTCTACAGAAGAGGCAGATAATTGACTTTGTTGGAAAGAGCCAGGTGAATGCCCAGAGAGGTGGATGCTGTCCGCCTTAGTCCAGGGAGGCTGGGATCTGGGAAAGCTGAGGGTAATGTGACCTTGGTGACAGTGACTTTCGCCAGCAGACCTTACTGAGTTGTTTTCTGGATGGAGGAGGAGAGGTGGCTTATCGTTGCTTGACCCCGCCAGCCTCTCTCCCGATTTCCCAGTGCCCTCAGAACTTGCCAGAGGGGAGGCAGCTGCCTGTTGTCAGAAGTGCAGTGCTTGACCGTGGAACCAACAGGGCCTAGGATTATGCAGGGCTTAAAGGCTGCTGCTCCCACCCTGTAGAGGAGGGGAAGCGGAAAGGCTTCTGATGTAACTGAAATCAGAGAATTGGGTGGATTAAATAGTTCTTTATGGCAGTGATATAACCTATCCCATTTCAGAGACGTTTGACATCTTAGAAAATACTATAATCCATTGTACCAGTAACTCTCTATTCTTTGTGCCAGTAAAAGCCGTTACCTTGCCCCCAGAAATTGAAGCGATGCTGCAAATAGCAACTGTGCCCTGCTGGGGAAAAAGGAGTAAGTTCCAGGCCACCTCCTCTCGTTGCGTTTCCCCTCATTGCAGACACTGCTTTTAAGCACATTCAAGGCCAGGGGCAACACTGCTTCAGTGCAGGTCTGCTGGCAGCAGTTTTCCCAATAGCATATGCTCACGTCCTGTGTCTCTCTGTCCTGTGTGTGTGAGATAGCACAACTTAGCTATTTCAAACGAACAAACAAATCAGTGTCGTTTACAGGAGCTTCCTTTCCAGGCATGGAGGTCTACTAAAAATGTAGCTAAAAATGTACTACTGTGGAAAGCAAAGACCGCTTCCATCGGCTGCAGGGGAGGGCCGGGGGCTTCCCCCGTGACGAACTGCTGTGATGCTGTCCTTGGGGCCACTGAGGGCGGTTCGTATTTTCTCTAGCCACCCTTGGGTGCCGGGGTGCTGGCAGGACAGCGTTGACGTGGAGTGAGTTCAGCTCGCACTGATAGGGCTCCTGGGGCCACCGCTCCCCTGGAACCGTGAGTTCCACTCACAGTCATTTTTATGACAGATCTTAGGTCCACGCTCTATTTTAAGGCTGCAAATCAGTTTTCGTAAATTGGGGCACCCACGATGGCTGCCATCTTGAGCCGCTGTCTCTTCTCGGAGTCACATTTTGGTAATTCTCACAGTTTTTCATACTGATTTTGTAATGCTGTTCCGCGTTTAATAGGCTACAATATCACGAAACCCTAACTTTAAAATGCACTGGGAAACCCCAAAGAGCTGCTGTGACTCCATGTACTACCGTTCACTTCATCGTGGGGGTCTGGACTGGGCCGATGTTCCTCGGGGGGCGGCCTGTTGTGGAGGATGAGCTGTTGTAACATTTGCACCAGTAACGACGCATTTGTAAGTTCTGTGCAAAGCTGTAGCCAGCAGGTGGCTGGGTGAGGAGACGATCTTGACACTGTTGATTCCTTCAGAGCAAAGTACGTGTGCTCCTTTTGGGGGGACCCCTGTCTGGAGGCTCCTGGCTGTCATTGGTGTCTCTCAGGAAGGGCTGCACCCTGTAGGTTACTCAGTCCTGTCTTCAGGTTTCTTCTTGGGTCCGTGTGGAGATGTATCAAGGGCGTCTGAGATCTGGAGATACATTTCAGTGGTACCACTTGTAGAAGTTCAAACGGTTGGAAATGGGAAGTGGAAGAAGAGTCCCAGGTAAACCTCGCGGAACGATGTGTGCTGCCCACATTCGGGGGCCCTTTGAATCGACTCCTGTGCTCTGTTCCCGTGTGTACCCTTAGAAAGCCGAAGTCCTGACCACCGGAGCTGGCAACCCCGTGGGAGACAAGCTCAACTCCCTCACCGTGGGGCGGCGGGGGCCCATGCTGGTCCAGGATGTGGTGTTCACCGATGAGATGGCTCACTTTGACCGAGAGAGAATCCCCGAGCGAGTCGTGCACGCTAAAGGAGCAGGTGAGGCTGGGCCCTTGGTTGTGAAACATCGTTTTGTAGAACCAGTGCCACAACTATTTCCTGTGATAGACACGCTGGGTCCCCTTCCCCCGGGGGGAAGGAAGACTGCCCACCCAGAGGAGAGTTAGCAACTCAGTGAGGGCATTGCCTTGGCTGTGGTGGGAAAGTGCCCAGCTGCAAACTGCAAGCCCAGCAGTTCAAACCCACCGTCAGCTCCGCAGGGGCAAGAGGTGCCCGTGTGTGGCTGTGAAGACCACACCCTTGGAAAGGCTCCGGGTTCTTCTACTGTGCCCTGCAGGGTTGCTGTGAGCCAGCACCAGCTCGACAGCAAGGGTTATTGCCCTGCATGCAGTATGACGTTATTTTATTAGAAATAAAAATTGTTATCATGGAAGTTATTTCCATTGTCTAGTTCAGCGAGGAAACCCGCACAGTACACACTGTACACACTGTAACTGTAACTAGGTTTAAGTGTTGCACTTATCAGATACAAATACCGAAACCAAGAGCATACAGTTGAGATAGTTATGGGAGGGTGGCTGGTTTGGGGTGGTTCCCTTCTCTTTCCTCCAATACGTCTGTAAAACTCGCGTCTTGCACTGATGGTAGAAGCTGTGGGGTACCAGCCCCCACAATCAAAGTGGGGATCCAAGGGGCCGCTGTGTAATTGAGGGGTAAAATTAAAGAGACATCAGACAAGATAAAGCATGCACTTGCTCACCTTCGGGACGGCCATGATCTGAGCAGCCAGATCCACGCAGAGACACAGAGAATATATTTCCAACCAGGGCTTATCTACACTCAGGGCGTCCTAGCCCCTAATTACAGGTAACCCCATGCGTAACAGGAAGGGGTTGTACAGTAGACCAGAGGTAGGGGTATACACTCAGTAGGAAGGGGAGGCACTAGAGGCATACACATGACAGGAAGGCGTACAGGTAACAAGATGGGCGGACTCAAGATGGGCATACACGTAGCAAGGTGAGCTGGCTTGACCTTAGTGTCTTTGGGCTCTCCTTCAGGGGAACCATCCATTATCCTATCAGAAGGAGTGGGCCCTGCTGAGGGTGGGACAGACAGTAAGAGTCTGACTGCTCCAGATGGCTGATGCCCTTCAGTCAGATAACCTTGAAGCAGTTGCCTTCCAAGTGTGTAGTCAGTGCTCTAGGTTAGGCATATATTCTGGGGGGACTTCCTGGGGAGTAACCTTTCTGTTTCCCACCAAAGCAACTCAATCCAGACATTAGAGCATCTCCAGGGAGAGGAAGAACGACAATTCGTCTAAATCTTTTTAGTTGGCCTTCCAGTTCGGGCGCCCTAATCTCCAGTCCCTGGAGAAGGGCGCCCTGGTTGGTGACGCAGAAGGGCAGTGAACAAGAGGGCGGCCCTCAACCAGGGGGGCTGACCCGTGGGCACACAACGGTGCTGATGGTGCAGGAGCGGGCAGGGTTGTGCCCTGGGGTACACAGGGTCCCAGTGGGTCGGAGACAGCACCGCCACCACCACTTCTTCATCTCTGCTTCCTACGTAAGAGTTCTCCCCAGCATTTCTGTCACTCTGACCAGGTCTTTGCGGACTGCTCAGTGTGGTGTTGGATGCCCTGGCGTCTGTAACGAAGGGCTGGACCGGGGCGGCAGATTGCGGCTCTTTCAGAACATACTTGTGGCTCGGAAGTGAAATTGAAAATGAAAGTAAAACAACCATAGCTTCATTTACAGGATGTTATTGAGACAGTGGTGACTTCATTGGTAAAAACATAGTATGGCTCCTGAATGACCTTTAAACTGTCGTGAGGGACAGGATTGGCTCTCCTGTCAGAAGTTTGCAGACCCCTGGTCTAGACGGTTCTTTGCTCCCTTGCACTGTGGCTCTTCTCCATCCTGCTCATCCACTTCTCTGCTAGATCCCACCTGTGCTGCACGACCCCGTGGCCCATGCCCTTTGGTCAGCCTTGGGGCCAGCCTTTGCTGACCCACTCCCAGCCTCACTCTTACCCTGGCTGCAGCCCTGCAGGGCTTGGGTGAGCACCGAATACTCACAGGCTTTGCATCTTTTTTGTAAAAATCACTTTATTGGGGCTCGTACAACTCTTGACACAATCCATACATCGTCCCTTATGTCAAGCACATTTGTACATTTCTCCACCGCTTTGGGTGTGGACGACTCCCCTCCCCCAGCACACTACTGGCAGCGCCTCCCATTTCTCTCCGTAGTCACCCGGACACCAGAAGAGCGGTGAAGGCCGAATAGTCTCTCACGGTGCCGGTTTTCCCGTCTTTCTCTCTAGGGGCCTTTGGCTACTTTGAGGTCACACATGACATCACGAGATATTCCAAGGCAAAGGTGTTTGAGCATATTGGCAAGAGGACGCCCATTGCAGTTCGCTTCTCGACTGTCGGTAAGTCCGTTACCTTGGTGGGATAGGTATTCCTTGATAAACTCAAGACTTAATCACTTAATCCCAGGAAAAAGTTACAGGGTCCCTGTGGATCAGAATCACTGACAGTGGGTTTTCAGCCCTGGTGGCACCATGGTTAAGTGCTGGGCTACCAATGGGAAGATTGACGTTTAACTCAGTCCAGTGGCTGCAAGGGGCAGGAAGACCTGGTCATCTGCTCCCACGAAGAGTACAGCTGAGAAACCCCGGCGGGCAGCTGTCCTGTGTCTCATGGGGTTGCTGTGAGTCCGAAAGGGCTGGAGAGCACCGGCAACAACAGTCAGCAGCAGCGGCAGCACTCCATAGTACTGGGCTTCGACTGCATCATTCTGTGCTTTTGCATTTTAAAAATACTGTAGAATGCGAAAATAAATGAAATTAAGAACGAGAACCTAGATTTCGGTTCATCCTCTTAATATTTAATTAATGAGTTAACACTTCTTGAGTATTTCTAGTTGTTCCCTTCCGCTATTTTAATTACCTGTTTAAACCAAACTAGCTTCTTATTTGAAACGAGTGTTTTTGATAGTGACTTTTACATAGCTTCTCTCATCACTCTCAGTCCATTCTTTTGTTTAATTTGTAGATTGCATCAGTTGGTGGGTGGTAGAAATAATGGTTCCGGCACCTAAATCCCTAATTTACTTCGGGAAAGTAGATGGAAAGGATAGATACCAGTGTATCTGGTGCTGTGCTTCTTGGATGAATGTAGTCGTGACTAATACTGTGTTTTCCTGTTTGCATCTGCCAGCCGGAGAATCGGGCTCAGCTGACACCGTGCGAGACCCTCGGGGTTTTGCCGTGAAATTCTATACGGAAGATGGTAACTGGGATCTTGTTGGAAACAACACCCCCATTTTCTTCATCAGGGATGCTTTATTGGTACTTACAGTACTTTTCTCTCTGTAAATATTTTGTTCATTTGAATTGATTTCAAGTATTCTGTATTAGGCTGACATCTGCGGAGAGCTGAATTTGCATTGGCTGGGCTGGACCGGGCGCGGCAGGACGCGTTGCCTGGCGTCCCTCCATTCCTCCTTGTTCTCTTTCCCCATGTAGTTCCCGTCCTTCATCCACAGCCAGAAGAGAAACCCTCAGACGCACCTGAAGGACCCCGACATGGTGTGGGACTTCTGGAGCCTGCGCCCCGAGTCTCTGCACCAGGTGGGGCGCTGCGGTTTCCCTGGGTGTCCCCTCCTCTGGCTTGGCTATTGCATTGAAACTGGTCTGTGGTTTCCTCTTCAGAACCCTTGATCATGAAGAGTTTTATCATGGCCGGTTTTGATAACCCCCTTCCTGCCCTCTAATTGATGGCGAGATACAAGTCAGAAACAGGTCACATTTAAAAAATGTTACGGATCCAAGTTTCGAGTAGAGGCACATCTTGTGGCCTGGGGGCAGGTGGAGAGGAGGAAAACAGTGTGCATCATTTTCTACTGAAGTGATCTTTTGAATATCAAGTCTGACGAGCTTTCACATTTGCCTTAGCGTTCCTCAGTAGAATCTGGAGTCATGCTATTAATGGCTTCTGTATGACCCAGCTTTAAAATTCCTCTGCCTCTGCACAGGAAATAGTCAGGAGGGCCCCTCCCACACCACCCCTGGGTGATTGGCACCCATGTCCCATGCCAGTAAGGGGTTTCCCAGAACTGTCTTAGTTAGAACTGTCTTAAGAAGCTGAGGCATTTTATTTTATTACATTTCTGTTGCTATTTTCCAGTGGCTCTCTTGACTTGAGAGCAGTTTTACTGACAGAATTCACGCCCCATACACGGAGCGGTTGACGGGAGCGGGGTGTTTTGCTGTACACTGACACCGGCTGGGGGCCGTGGTTCTTTCTGTTCCTCAGGTGTCCTTCCTGTTCAGCGACCGGGGGATTCCCGACGGACATCGGCACATGAATGGATACGGCTCACACACTTTCAAACTGGTTAATGCAAATGGAGAGGCAGTTTACTGCAAATTCCATTATAAGGTACTTGTTGTCTCTGGGGTGGGTGGATGCAGGGCGCCCTCTCCCACTCCCTCTCCCCGGGGAATGCGGTAAAGAGTGAGCCTTCTCCCACTGGGCTCTTACTGGTAAAGGATTGCATCTGTCTCTTCCACAGATGTGTGGAATCGTAACTCTTCGATGGGTGGGTGTAATCCTGTACAGCAAGAGGGTCTGGTTACATTAATTAGATCGTGCTGGAGCCGGTGGTGAGGACATGTTACAGGGTCCACATCTCACCTCCCCGGCTACACGGAGGAGGAGAATCAACTCCCCACCATTGGGCAGAGGCAGACATGCTCGGACCCTCGATCATCCTGAAGTCGAATGTTCCTCCCAGGGCACTCCACTGACCTGCAGGGTTCCGTAGCGTGTTGAAATGGCCACACAGCACTCAGACGATAGTCCCAATTCAGAGGGCTTATTAGGGGAGTCACAGGTGACCACGAGCCACGATGAGTAAACAGTAAGGATGCAGCCTTGGTCCACAGCACCACCTCTCCTCAGCCAGCCCCTGTGTCTCTCTCCGGTCCTCAGCCTCTCAGACAGGTGGTCCCTTGGCCTCTGCCTCTGTGGGTCAGGAAATCTGGCCGCCACTCTGTCATCTCCCTCTGCTCTGTTTCCACGTGGCTGCTATGTTCTGTGCCTCTGCCACTTCAGACAGGGGCCTCGCGCACTCGGGCTCTACTGGTGGCTCCTATTTCTCGGTCATCTGGGATTCTTGGTTTCTCCTGAGATGACCGGCTCTCTTAGAGTCAGGGGAATGGGAAAACTGACCAGCCCTGCAGTTCAGAGTCCCCTACACCGTGTTTGCGGTTCGACCCAATCATTTGGTGAGAGTTACAGACAAATAGCTAGGGGAGCAGCCAGATTTAAAATCTCTTCATTTCATTTCCCTCAGAACTGCAATCACTTCGGAGTGACGAAGGAGCCTACGAGAGCCATACACAAATTGAGTCCCCAGTTCTGTGTTGGCGTGTAGCGTCCTGTCCTCGCAAACCATTGACAATGGTTCAATTGCTTTACTTGTTCTAGCCCTGAGCCTGTCGTTGTCCCCATCGACAAGATCCCGTGGGGGTCTTGGAGGGACTAAGGCAACATGGGTGTGTTGCTGTCTCACACCAGTCTTGCTATCTGTAAGGCTATCTCAGACCCCACTTTCGTATGTCTCTGCGGTTCTGTTCACTGGATCGTTCGTTAGGTCAGCTGTGCAGGTAGCACGTTTCCATCTGATCCGAACCACCCAGAGCTAGGTCGGAGTCTTCCAGACTGCCAAGACTGCTCAAGACCTCAACCTTAAACTTGGGACTTATGGGGGGACTCCCCTCTCTTTTGACCTGCAGAGTGAAAATTCAGGGGTTCTCAGCTCTCTCGTTTCTAGTATGCTGGCTCCCACCACTCCTTCCTGTTTGATAATCCACTGGAACGTCAGGCTGTATGGAAAGTGATTAGAGTTTTATTGTAGCAAAAAGCATACAAATGAAGTGACACTCATTAGAGAAACGACAGGGAAGGATCCCAGTGTGAAGCTCCCATGCCCCACAATGGGCATACTACCCTCTGTGCGTCGATGCCTGTCCCCAACCAGCCAGCTCGGGGACCTTCTGTGTTAAGAGCCCTTTGAGAACCCTTTCATTAATTGAAGGGTTCTACAGGGTCCTCTCTTGGTGTGATGTTGGCCAGGTGTTACTCTAATACCCTGAAAGAACTCCAGGGGGTTAAAAACTTCTGGTGGCCTAAGAACTTCTGTTTCCGAACACTGCTCAGATCTGTAGAGAATGGGCTCGTGGCAAATTGTCTTACTCTTGATATCTAAAAGACCCTGTTTCTTTTTCTGTTCTGCCTTAATCTTCATCTGGGCAACGTAAGCAAGCAGCTGTCGCTCCTCTCGTTTCTTAGATCTTAACTAGGAACTGCTGCTGTAAGAAACAGCTGACTCCTGGCTGGTTACTGTCAAAGGGAGCCCGCTAGCCCCATTTAGAGCCCAACTGAATGCGCCTGCAGATAACCAGCCAAGCTGTGACTTCAGATCCAACCAGTCTGGATTCTATTAGCTCGGCCTGGGGCATAGTATTAAATGTTTCTTGAGTTTATTTTACACTGTAAAATTGGGGTGATAATCCCGCTGTCTGCAATGATGGGGTTCTTTATGGATCTGTTCAGCAGAGGGCCCGGAGCCACTTCTGAGCAACGTGGACGCATCACACCGGGGTGTTCCGACTTTGTCCTCTCCTAAATGCTGGGAATAAGTTAAAATCAGACCTTTTGCAATGTGGACTCGCGGGGAGATCTGTAAATGGCGGCCGTCAGTTTTCAACAGGAAGGAGACTTACTTCATTTCTGGTGTAGTAGAAGGCAGACTTGGAATGTTCGCACTGGCTTGGAGGGCGTTGGCATGAACTGAATCAGCCTTTCAGATGTGGCTTTTGCTGAGGACATCCTTCTTTGCAGGGACACAGCTTTCCTGTGGCCACGGGTTCGTTGACGAGATGGTGTTAGCATAGAAGAGCTCTTGTCAGAGTGACTTATTTCTTTGGGTTGTAGTGGCTACCCTGTCTTCCATGAAAGTTCTCTGTTTACTTCTCTGAGTTTAATAGCCATTGCCATGGCTACACAGAACTCACAGCCAACATTCACCATTAGAAGGTTTTTTAAGGAAGTGAACAAGTGGGGCATGTTCAAGATGGCGCTGTTTATCAGGAGAGTCACAAAGTTCTGTCAAGTCTGCTGATAAAAGCCTGAAGGACGTGCCACTCACTTGTAAGCCTCAACCCAAGGGCATACGGCTTTTGTTCAGTGGGTCAGCATATCCAGCTCCCTGAACTGGGTAAGTGTCCAGAGGCCCCCAATCCAGGAAACCTCCGCTCACAGGCACTCAGCTCCACTCTCATGGGTCAGCGAGTCCAACTTCCGCCCTACCCTGCAAGCCAGCCTCCTGCACAAAGTCATCTTTACTTGCTCAGCAGGTTGGGGAGCCCATCACGCGGCCCCATGCTCTGGCTCCTGGTTCTGCTGCTGCTGCTCTCATGGTAGAGTGGAGTGCTGGATCCAGGAGGGTCCCTGCACAGGGATCTTGGGTCTAGAGAAGAGGCTCTTGTTGGTCATGTGATCCCTCCTGCTTCTCAAGAGGGCTCCTTTACACACAGCAGGAGAGCACTCCTGGAAATCTAATTAGCAACTACAGGCAAATCCTGTCAGTGCTTGTTTGTCAGACCCGTGCAGGGAGAGAGAGGTTACTGGGTGGGAGTTAGAGAATTGCGCTGAAGAGACATTAAATAATTCACTGTCCCTGCAGTGGCTTGTTTGGAAAGTCAGAATACTAATTCTGGGAAAGTTGAGTTAGAAAAATTCTGCTGAGGTTCTTTTCTGTGGGGTGGATGGAATACTGTTGAGCACAATCTCAGCCATTGCATTGAGCTGGGGGAAAAAGGCAATCATTTAGGAAAGAGTACCCCTTTGCAATTTTTGTCAATCGTTTGATTCTTTTCAAAATAGACATAACTTTTCTATGAGAAAAAGTAACCAAACCAAAACCCAGGCCCATTGCCGCCTGTCCATTCTGACTCCAGAGGCCCCTCTAGGGCTGCCAAGGTGGGAGCCGCCAGCCTCATCTTTCTCCCTTGAGGTAGCCGGGGCATTCAGCAGCCCAGCGCCTAACCCACCGTGCCAGCGGGCTCCCTGGATAAGTAACCAATGTGTAAAACTTCAGATCGTGTAGGAGTATAAGAAAGGAAAGGTAAGACTCAATTTAAATAGGAAGCCTATCACCCGAATTTCTTCCCCGAGAAGTTTGTGTTGGTGTCAGACTTGAACAAGGGAGGAGGAGGTAGTGTTGAGAAAACAAAGTTGCCATTAGAGTCGTGCTTCCTCCAGGAACCGTTGAACCATGAGTGGTAAGTCTCACACCTTCAGCAGAGCTGGTCAAAGCTCTGTAACGTTGCCAGTACGTTTCCGTTTGAGTGTCTTCCTTCGCTTCTGCAGACTGACCAGGGCATCAAAAACCTTTCTATAGAAGACGCAGCGAGGATTTCTCAGGAAGACCCTGACTACGGCCTCCGGGATCTCTACAATGCCATTGCCACCGGCACCTACCCCTCCTGGACCTTTTACATCCAGGTCATGACCTTCAGTCAGGCAGAAGCTTTTCCGTTCAATCCCTTCGATCTCACCAAGGTGAGTCGGTCAGCAGCCACACGGTCTCCTTGTTCTCTTTTAACCTCTTATTTCCTGATTACAACGCAAGCGTCCACAGGTAGAGGGCAGTTCCATGCAGAACACGGTAGTACCACGGGGAGTTTCCTGACCTGTCCGGGAAGGTAATGTACCAGGACAAGCCTCCTGGAGTTTCCCGCTGATGAGAGCTCAGCAGCACCTCCAGGCCCCAGGGGTGTTTGGAGGGGTGGGAACCACAACCGAATCCCCTGGGTTCGAGTTAGTTCCAATGTGTAGTGACCTTGCAGGACCAAGCAGAACTGCCCCGTGAGTTTCCATGGTGGAATCTTCACGGACGCAGATGGTCACAGCTTCCTCCTACACGGCACAGGCTGCTCGCTCCGACTGCCTTCTTTCTGAACGCGGAACTGCTGGGGCGCCTGCAGCGCGGTTAGCAAGGAGCACCTTTTGAGCCGCTGCAGAACCTGTGCCAGTGATAGACTTTTGTGGGTATTTACTGTTCACGCTTGTGAAAAATGCAGGCCACGTCATCAACGCTGAGCTCCGCACAGGCTTTCTTGGATTAGGAAATTCTCCTTCCCCGGGCCGTCCGCGCGTGGGTTCGCGTGAATGCTGGTGGTCTCGGGGCAGTGCTGCTTCTCCCGCAGTGGTTGTGAGTGTGACGTTGTTTTCTTTTCTTCCCTTCAGATTTGGCCTCACAAGGACTACCCTCTTATTCCAGTCGGCAAAATGGTCTTAAACCGGAACCCCGTCAACTACTTTGCCGAGGTTGAGCAGATAGCCTTTGACCCGAGCAACATGCCACCTGGCATCGAGCCCAGCCCTGACAAGATGCTGCAGGTGAGCCTGGGGGCCCAGGTGTCAGGAGCCACCCTCCCCACAGGAAGCTTGAACCAGGCCACCGCGCAGACCGTCATTCGTCCGGTCACGGTTCCTGGTGGGTCTGAGGTGAAGCTGTCCTTGGATGAGCGTGGATGTGAATAAGACAGTTACGGACCACATTCCACAGTACCGATCCTTACTGTGTTAGGACCTTGACATTTATTGACTTTTTAAAAAGGTATTTCAGAAATCCCTCAGGTTTTTGGGGGGCACTGCATTATTAGTTCACGTGTGACTCTGGGGAAGGACTGTAACTTGTTGATGATAGCCTTGGTCAGGGTAACTATTCATGTCCTCTTCCCTGGGATACTTGCATTGGTAAAAAGCAACTGGGATGATTTTTTAAAAACTGGATAAGTAGATCAAAGTATTTGCCATTTCAGCCTTTTTTGACAGCGAGGATTCCGGGGCCCCATCCCTGGGTGTCCACCCCCTTTAGCAGACGCTCAGTGTGCGGCTGGTTGTCAGAAGCAGATGTATGTGCACACTGACAAGAGCACCCCTGTGCTTCACATCACTCTCCGATGTGCTCTTCCACGCGTGCACAGAGCGAAAAATTCTTTGGACCAGGTATCAGTCGGGAAAGAACCGGTTTACTAATTAAGGAATAATTCAGTCTTTGGATTTTTGGACAAAGGCCACGGATCAAAGTGACTGTGGGCTTTGGTCTTATGTGGAGTGCGGATTCCTACTCTGGCGGCAGCCTCCGTAGAGGACTAGCTAAAGTTCCTTTGTGTTTTCATAGTGACCTTTTTACGATGATCCTGGGAACAGCTGAGGTCTTAATGGAAAGTAGGTTTTTCTTAGTTTTTAGTTCAATTTAATGACTATGAATGCGTCTCTCCCAGGTGTTTTAAGGGACACGAGAACACAGGGTAAGCGTAATGGAAGGCTCAGGGCCTTGGGGGAACCAGAAGGTGAAGCCTGTCTCTGGAGGATGATGACAAGGTTTCGTGAGCTAGTTAACATTAGGGATGGGTTTTAAAGACTAGGTGTCAAGATGTGTAATAGGGCAGACCGCATCCTGGATTAAAAGAAATAAGATGGGGCAGACACAGTCAGAGGAGGCTTTAAATGATTGAGTGAGCAGTTTGCACATTTGTCCCTTTGGGACAAATGAAGTTTGCTTCAGTCTTGAGACACATGACCTGGCATGTGTCAAGTACACTGACTCTGTTGGTGACGATAGACACAGAATTGGCCTGTGTCAGAAACAGAGAAGGGCCACCAAGCTGCTGACAGAGGCCCAGCAGAAGTGCAAGCAGATGCCAAGGGGACATAGGCCCAGGTCCTGGCCTGTCCCTGCCTGGGGGTTGGAGGGGAGCTGAAGCGAGGAGGAGGAGGGGCAGTTGGGATTTGCCACGGGGTTTCATTGTCATGGGCTGGGCCGAAATGCCACAACCCTGGTTATTAAAGGAATAGGTTGAGAGATACAAGGTTACCCAGTCTTTTCAGAAGAATCCAGCCCATCTGAGTCTCTAGGACCTCCGTGGGACTTGGAGGTAGTCAGCATCACTGACTTTGAAGATTTTGGATAGGGGAGGAGGACCCTGGAACAAGTTAATATTCTTTACAACCAGAGAAACCATATGTTCAGGCCTCTCATGCAAACTAAGTCTGGAAAAAGGAATGACCAATGGAAATCAGCCATATAATCATTTTACTTGTGCTGGTAAATTACAGATAGGTAGATAAAGTACATGTAAGTATTCTCTGGACAGGATTTTGGACTGAGGTTTTAAAGGAGTGAATATATGAAAGAACTTTAGTACGTTCTGTCAGGTCTCACTTCCCGGCCCAGTTCGCCCCAGAGCATCATCGGCCAGGTAGGTGGGACTTCCGTTACTGTGGGAGTTTGGGGAACCACACAGTCAGGACTGTTGCATTCATTCGGCCATTTGGCAGCCAGTGAACTCACTTACGTGGTTTTCTGTAGGAAAGAGAGATAATATGAGCAGGTTTTAGCAAGGTTCATCCAGGAGGAGGTGTGGGCTGTCTTGTTAGGGGAGGGATAGGAAGTGGAGAGCCAGCCAGGCCAACTCTGGACTTGCCCCTGCTGAGCGTCTATGAGGGCCGTAGCTCACAGGGCAGCGTTTGGTATGCAAATGGACAGTGTTCTCTTCCAACAAGGCCACGTGCGTCAGCTGTACGGCTTTGCTGTCCAACGTGGTATGTGAGGCCACAGTGAAACGGACCGAGAGTGACTGCAGGGAGGTCACCTGCTAGGCACCGGGCGCTGGCCCCTCTGCCTTATGGCACAGGTCTCTCATTCCTCACCAGGAGCTGGAGGAGAGGCTGCGCTGGGAGCTGTGTGGGGAGCTTTGCTGTCTTTCTCACCCAGGCCCTTGGAGCACTGCAGGCTCAGGGTCGGGGAAGGCCCAGCCCCAACTGGGTGTCAGGGTGGTGGTATCGAAGTGCATGTTCCCGGTCCTTGACGTGGGCTAGAGTTGCCAGCTAACACTGTGGTGAATTTCCTGATAGAGGCTACCTCCTGGGGCTGCTAATGTCCCTGTCCATCCTGTTGGTAGAAGTTAGTTGATTTTGAGCCAAAGGACACAACCAGCTTCCAAACTGCAGGTGGACTTTAGTCATGGCTCGTGACCAACTGTCTGAATATTAACTGAGACCAAATGATTATGGGAGGTGCTGGCACACAGTCAGCATCAGATTATTGACAGCAGTGGGGCTGGAGGCTCCACGTGGGTATGAGTGGTTTGGTACAAAGCATTGCACAAGCTGCCCTATTTGCCAGGTTTTCACTTGGCCTGGTAATAATTGGCATGTGCGCTTGCCCTTTAAGACTCAAGGCCAGTGATAAAGTCTTTGACCCGATAAAGGTTCATAGATCAGTTTGGGTCGCAGGGCCCCTGAAATGATTAGATGGTCATGTCAACGCCCGGCTAGCCATAGAACCTTGTGTGGGTAACTAACCGTAAGACAAGTCAGGAGGCTTACCACCGGCCATGACCGATGGGAATCTCTGATTCAGGACCTTCATAACTTTCGTGTTGATGGTTAGGGGCTGCTCAGTGAGAGAGCACTCATGGCTCGAGAGAGAAAAGGCTTTGCTCCTTGCTGGAGGGGTAGGCCGGGAGAACCAGTGTCCTGTGGCCTGCAGTGTGCAGCTTCTAGACCATTCCTGTTTTCCATGTGGCTGCCCATGACCCATGTGGGCTTCGTTTCCACCTGCAGGGCCGTCTCTTTGCCTATCCCGACACTCACCGCCACCGCCTGGGCCCCAACTACCTGCAGCTACCTGTCAACTGCCCTTTCCGCGCTCGGGTGGCCAACTACCAGCGTGATGGTCCCATGTGCATGTTGGACAACCAAGGTAGGTCCTGCGAGGAGAGCTGCCTCAGCAGCTGGGAGGGGACACCGGGCCAGTGATCGGCCAGCGGCTGCAACAGGACCATGGCTATGGTCAGATGTACCTTAGTCCTCAAAGTGACATCTTTGTGCATAACTATTTTTTTTTCCAATCATTTTATCAGGGGCTTGTTCAACTCAATCCATCCATTGTGTCAATGGATGTACCACAATCCATCCATCCATCCATTGTGTCAAGCATCACATTTGTACATTTGTTGCCATCATCATTCCCAAAACGTTTTCTTTGTACTTGAGGCCTTATTATCAGCTCCTTATTTCCTGCCCTCCCCCCAATGAACCCTTGATAATTTATAAAATTATTATTATTGTTTCATGTCTTACACTGTCCGACAGCTCCCTTCACCCACTTCTCTGCTGTCCGTCTCCCAGGGAGGTTAGATGGAGATTTTTGTAATCGGTTCCCTCTTACTACCCCTTCTTCCCTCCACCCTCCTGGTATCGCCACTCTCACCACTGGTTCTGAGGGGTTCATCTGTCTTGGATTCCCTGTGTTTCCAGTTCCTATCTGTACCAGTGTACATCCTCTGGTCTAGCCGGATTTGTAAGGTAGAATTGGGATCATGATATTGGAGGGGAGGAAGCATTTATTAGGAACTAGAGGAAAGTTGTGTTTTTTCATTGCTACATTGTACCCCTGACTGGCTCGTCTCCTCCCCTCGACCCTTCTGTAAGGGGATGTCCAGTGGCCTACAGATAGGCTTTGGGTCCCTATACAGCACTCCCCCTCATTCACAATGATAGGATTTTGTTCTTTGATGCCTGATAGCCAATACCTTCGACACCTTGTGATCACACAGGCTGGTGTGCTTCCATGTGGGCTTTGTTGCTTCTGAGCTAGATGGCCATTTGTTTACCTTCAAGCCTTTAAGACCCCAGACGCTATATCTTTTGATAACCGGGCACCAACAGCTTTCTTCATCACATTTGCTTATGTACCCATTTGTCGTCAGCCATCTTGTCGGGAAGATGAGCATGATGGAATGCCAGTTTAATAGAGCACAGTGTTCTTGTATCGAGGGAGTACTTGAGTGGAGGCCCAGTGCCCATCTTGTGCTTAACTCTTTAAAGGAGTCTTGCACAGCAAGTTTGCCTAGTGCAGTATGTCAGTTCATTGGGGGTTAAGTTTCCCCCAAATTCCCAAATCAATTGTCTCTTTGCAATTCTGCACCGGCCTTGAAAGACTTCTCGAGCCTGCGTCTGGTTAGACCTGGAGGGGAGGGAGCAGGCAGAGGCACAAGAGGTAGGGAGGTGGGATTCTTCCGGCGCAGCATCCACCTCTGCTAACTGTGGCATTGGATTCATGGAACGTAGCTGGCGAGCAGGGACTCCGCCATTTTTGTAGCTCACTCCTCACATCTCCCCATTTATTTTGTTGCCGAGTACAGACAGCCTCTGTTTCTCATCCCTCATTCATATCGCCCAAACAAGATTGGTGAATGTTTTCCCGCCCAGGGTCTCGCAGCGCAACGTAGCCCGAGAGCCGTGCGCAGGGCACGCGTGCTTCAGGAACAGGCTGCTCGCTTGCAGTCCCTTGAGAACTGCCACGATGACTGTAGAGCCATTGCTGTCGTCAAGCAAGCTTTCTTTGCTGTGATAAAAAGAACACGTGCCCTGACAGAAACCAGGAAACTACCGGCGGGGGCGGGGGTGCAGGGAGGGGGGCAGGGAGACGGAAAACCCAGGTCCGGCCTCGACGCTCAAAGGCCATGCTGCTCATTTTGCTGTGTTTCTTGCCAGTCTTTTCTGTGACCGTTTTTCGCACACTTAGATCGCTTTGTGAGGATGATTTTGAACCTTGTTTTGTCCCCGTCTGCACGCTCAGCAGTCCATTAGGTGTTTGCAGCATTGCTGTCCTTGGGCGTTTGTAGAGGTGCCCGCTGCTTGGGCCTCTCCGTGGCCGGCGACCGTGGCTGGGACCATGGCCGGTGACCACGCGCTGCCGTTGCTTTTTAGTCTGTGGTCCGTCCTTTGCTTGCAGCCCTCGGCCCCTCTGCCTTTGAAGCTGGCCGTTGCATTGCAGGGAAGGCCTCACGGATTTGGGAACTTCCTCACAGTCATTGCTCCATCCTCGCCTGCTGCGACAGTGGTTTCCGACCGATGAGTAAAACGGCCCAGAGGCTTTGGGCCACACCCGTGACCTGATTTTAAAAGTAGAACGTTTGGGCTGCACTCTTGGTGCTCAGGGAAGCTTAGTTGTGTGAGTAGCCAAAGACTTGGCCGAAAACATTGCTCTCCTTTTCGGGGGTGTTTGTTTTGTTGTTGGGAATATATGCGGCAAAGCACGCAGCCTGCCAGCTGTTTCAGCATCACAGTTGGCCGACGCTGCTGAAGGGCTTCCCGTTGTGCAGCCCCTCCCAGCCTCGGTGTGTGAGTCCCTCCTGTTAACACAGCCCACTGCCCCACAGGTGCCTGTCCGGCCTCCCGAGTGGCTCTTGTCAGTTTGATCCCATAGAGACGGTGCTTACAAGAGCGTGCTACTCCAGGCCGACCTCGTGAAGTGAGCCGATTGCTCAAGCTTTTTAATCTGGAGAAAGAGGGGGCTGTCTGTTCCTGTACAGATTTAAAGTCTCGGAAAAACCAAAAGGAGCGTTCTCGGTCCTGCAGGGTCTCCCCGAGTTGGAATCAGCTCGATGGCAGTGAGTTTGGTTTGGAGTGAGGAGGCTTCAGGGGGTTACCGTGAAAAGCTTCATATCCGGGCCAGAGTTTCAGGGGGTTATCCACCCTCCACGGCTCCAGAAAGTCTAGAGTCCAAGAGAGTTTGAAATTAGGTTCTGTGTTTCCCCCATTTTACCCAGGATTCTTCTATGGAATCTTTGATCAAAATGTTCAAAGTAGCTGGGCACCATCCAGTTCTTCCGGTCTCATGTCGAGGGAGGCTGTTGTTTATGGAAACAGTTAGCCATGCATACATTCTACAGCCTCCTGCTCCGACCGCCTCCTTTCTCTGCTGCTCCAGGTCAATGGAGCCCAGTGGTTGTGCCTTAACGTGGCTGTTGGTAAGCTTTTAAGACCCCAGCCAGGAAGCATCAAACTCAGAGTAGACAGAAATGCTGCACACATTAGACCAGTTAAGTGGGTGTCCCATGACCCTACACTTCCAAACCACAGACTGAATCCCAGGAGGTAACTGGTTGTACATATTCAGCTGCTCCTTATTTTTTTGCCTCAGTTGTAAATTGGTTTATCACACAGCTTTCGCCAATTCAACTTTCACGTGTGTGCAACTTATTGATGGCACTTACAATGTTTGGTTGAGTTCCCACCTTTAATCAGTGTGGTTTTCCCATCATCGTTAACTTCCCTTTTGTTGTCCTTTTGTCTGCCCCTGGTAACTACCAGTAAGCTTTGGCCTCTTATCAATGTGCCTTTTCCAGTATTTTTAGATTAGTGAGGTCAACCATTAGTTTTGTGATTGGCTGATTTTGCTAAGTAACTTTAAGCTCCCTCCATACAGTGGCATGCATCAAGACTGCACCTCTCGGCTGGCCGAGTGGAAGTCCGTGGTGCGCGTGTACCCTGGCCTTCTGCTGCTGGGTGCTGAGGTTGCTACTGTGGCCAGTTCTGTGGTTGAGTTAGTTAATTGTGCCAGCCTGGCCGATAATCACATGTGGTGCTGGTTGAAAGATGGAGGGATAAATGGGTGGTGAAGCCT